GGACACATGTCCATACAAGTGAGTGCTGGGCCTGTTGCAGGGTCCCCGTGGTCCGGTGCGTGGCGGTGCTCCTGCAGCGCGTTGGCTGTGCAAATGTGGGGTGTCCACAGAGCTGCAGGTACCTCTGAGCTGGTAACGTGGAGGTATGCTCAGCATTGTAGCAGCCTTTTCTGGAGAAGGGGAGACAGTGTGAACATGCAGGAAAAGAGGATATGAAAGGAAGCATGAAAAGAAGAGACAAGAAAAGACAGAAGGAATGAAAATACACACAAAAAGAGGTAAAATAGAAGTGAATGAAATCTCTAGACATGCGACACGAGGTATTTTCACTGAAAAGTGCTTCTCCAGAACAAGCTGTATGGAGACGATGTATGTATATTAGTACCTTGTAGCAAATGTTTTTCCACAGAGTGTAGAGAGCCTATTTCAAACTTGATCCACAACAACTTCCTTTCCTTTTCTTCAGACTCCTATATATTCTTCATTTAAGCACAGTAACTTCAGTTATCTGTTGGTATTTATTATTGCTCCAATTCAAAGAAGGGAGACAGGAATCTTTTTTTTACCTGAGCTCTTCTTCATAGTCTGCTGTGCTCTAGCTGTAGGGTCAACGCTCAGCTGGGATGATTTGTAACTAGGATGCTCTAGATAAAATAAAAAATGAATAACACTGCTACTGCTTTTTCTACCTTTCTGCTTCTACCTTTGCAGAGCATCACTTGCCACTGGAGAGAAGCAGGGGTGTTAAATTAGGTGCCTGCTGCAAGAACAGGGAGAGCCGGCTGGGGCTCCGGGGCAGGTTATCTGCGTTCCTGCGGTGCATGGACCAACCTAGGAAACCTCCCCAGAGCCAGCTCATCTCTGAAAAGCCTCTTAACACCAGCTTGGTCAGGGTAAGCATCAATTCTTCCTTGGGAAAATTAACACTTCCTTCCCCTCAGTTGAAGGAAGCATTAACCATAGACTGTCACCAAAAAAAAAAAAAAATAGCAAGAGATCATCTGCCCCATGGTGCTAAGGTGGAATAAATTGAATTGAGTGAACTATCACTGTGTACCTGAAGTAATGTTTTGGCTTTAGGGGAACCACTTAAGACTTATCCTACTATAAGCAAGCAAGAAAATGACTGTCCCCTTTCTATACAGAGTATCAGCACCAAAAAGGGCTTATTCTAGTTCACGCACTACAGCTGCCCTCCAAATGGAGCAAATCTATTAACTGAACAAGTGGGCAGTCAGATATGCCCTTCAGCAACCCGAGTGCTGCTGCAACTCTCCAGTTCCTAAATCGCACGTTGCACCACACAGGGAAATAGCAGGGTTGGAGTTGTTTTCATTCCTAGCATGGCATACAGGATTTTTCACATACTTATATTTCCTCTCTCAGTACCTAGGCTATTACGAGGAGTAGGGAAATTAATAAAGAGTGTATAACTAAAAAGCAGGAAATAAAAGGCAGACCAGAGCTGATGGAATAAGCTCAGTAAATCAATATAACCAGGAGGCATTGATTAGTGGAACACAAAATTCTCTTGTTGCCTTCAAAGTCAATACTGAAGGGAAAAAATAGATGTACACAAACATATACATGCAGCTTGGCTACTAAACACTTCACAGAGTAAATTCAGAGTTTTCCTAAACATTTTAGGGCTTCCCCATGCCCCATTTCCTTAGGGCTATTCAGTCACATCAGAAACCCAAGTAAGGGTAAGGACCTAAAAAGCCTGACAAGTAATAGAGATTTCAGTTTGGGCTTCAGAGCAACTTGCCCATACTTCGCTTTTGTTCTGCAAAACAGAACAAAATTCTCATTTCAAGAGAATAGAGAACAATTTTCAGCCTGCAAGAGCTAGGTCTTTTCCTATATTTTAAACTCCCTTGCTTTGGAGATCGTAAGGAAGGATCAAAAGGGAACAAAAACATGCATAATTTTCCATATTTTACAACTATTTTTAAGGAGTTTTAAAAATAAGTTGAAGAGCGCTGTCCTTCAAAAAGAGTAAAATGATGATGATTTAGTAATAATAATAATAATGATTTTTTTTTCCTTAATGTTGATGCAACTTTAGCCTCAGACTAGTCAGCGAGGAAATCATTTTTGGCACCTATCAAAAGGAATTTCAAGTTATCTGATATATCTGAGAATTTTTACAGTGCTCTTCTTGAGAATTGAGAATATCTTGAGAATTTTTACAGTGCTCTTCTCTTGGATATTCCTTCTGTACACTCTAAAGGATCAGGGATTCAGGCCCAGAACAGTGGCACATAATCCCAGAGACTAAGTGGTAGTATTGCTAGCACTCAAAAGTCTACATTTCAGAATGAAATTCTCATTCCTTTTTGGAATGAGAATTAAGCTATTCCTCTGGCCCTAATTTTATAGTACAGTGCAATCTTATTAATTTTTTTAAGTAGTGAAGTCTCCTATTCTCTGCAAAAGAGCTTAGTTGACTTTCCATCACAGTCTGAGAATAGATGCTACACAATAATTTGTAAATCTAAAGACATTTTAGATCAAAAGCAGCAAGACAGAATTGTATTTAATCTATCTTATTAGTAATCTTATTGTTCTGTAATGGCTACAAGCCCTAATCACTGGTTAAGTCTTCTAAGTGCAAAGTGTTGTACAAACAGGCAAAAACTCTGAGCTCATCCCGAACAGTTTAATATCTCTGTAGTAGAACAAAAGGTAACAGATTTCTGTAAACTAGTGGGAAAGCCCAGAATTAATGTAGTGTGAAGATTATTTGAGACTTACTTGTAACCTCACCTCTCCTATTAGATTTTTGTTCCTTTTCCTTAGTGTTGAAGCACCACCACTTAAAACATGCAAGAAGAAATGATGTTGCCGCTGTCATCAGGTGAAGTTTGGGACTTTGGATAAAGTGGGCTCAGCTCAGTTTCCCTCCCTTTTTTCACTGTGCTGAAGTTTATTTGCCTGAAATCACTCTATGAGCTTTTTTACTTTTTCACTGACAGTGAGCATCTGCTCACATCAATGTCTAGACTTTCCGATGTCTAACTGTACAGTTAATGCTTCATTGTAACTCTAAAGTCACTCCTAAATTAGGTCAGATGATTGCTCTTTAAAAGTGCCCATTCTCTCAGTAATTATAAAGTCAATCTAGGCTGATATTTCTCTTACAGATATCTGAAGTCATGTGAGATGAATTTCATCCTACAGGACCAGTTTTTTGTAATTAGAAACCTTCCAGGTGAGATGAGAAGAGGCTGTAGAAAATAGAAAGCCAAGAGGGTGGAGGTTGGAGTATTTTATATCTTTACTTTCATTCACCTAATTTTGAACAGATGCGAACAGGCCTGACAGATCAATGTCCGACTTTCATTGATCTCTGACATTTGTACGAGTGAGCCTTCCTTCTATCTTGAGGTCAATGAGCACAAGGTAACTGGAGGTGCTGTTCACTAGGAGTCACCATGTTGGTCAGCGGTGGAGTCAGGAACAGAATCTGTGGTACCTGAATCCCAGTTCAGTGTGCTGTCCTTAGGGAACCTTCTCTCCCTCTGTGTGTTTAATTGGCAGATTTATTCAATGTGATGGGTATCTCCATCAAACACACATAATGATGGAAATACATTGCATGACCAGCACATTGTCAAATGGTTATGTCCCCACAGACCATGACAAAGGGGGCAAAGGACAGGGGATGATCAAGTAGCAGTGGCAGTGATTGCTGTGTGGTCACCACAGGGGAAATGTTTTTCACCAGAGGGAGATCTCAGGATATTCCCAGTCTAAGTAGGGCCTAATCTAACCCGCAGGGTTGCATATGCATTTATATATTTGTATGTTTTAATATGATTGCATATATTTCAACTGTTATCATTATCACATTTTCTACAATAGAAATTCTCTTGCTGCATTCCTCTTTCCTCAGTATGTGGCTTCTCCCAGTAAGACTTTAACATTTCTTCAAACTTTTCATCATGTTTTCCATTTCTTGGTCCATCACTTCTATCTCTGCAAGGCCTCTCATTCCTTCCTACCTGTTTGCTCTCTTTAGCCAAAGCGAATAAGCAGTTTCCCTTCTGTATTCTCACTCCCCTGAAGGGAATTGAGCTTTCCTTGTTGTCCCACTTAGCCACATCTCTTCCCTTTTCAAGCTCTTCCATCCTTTTTCCTCTTTCTTTCCCTGCCTTTATTGGCAGTTTTCTTTCATTCACATTCCCAGCTCTCACCCACGATACGTCTGACATGCTGCTCCACATGCCCTTGCATCTGCAGTACTTAGGTTGGTTTGTTCTCTCCCATATCTCTTGCAGATCCTCCTACGACCCACTACGCACCCCTCTGACTCAGCGCTCCTGCCCTCCTGTCCCTACAGCCTTCCCTGCCCAGCTCACTGACATGGTTCTTTAAAATGTCCCGGGATCACAGAGCTGCTTGTGCCAAGGGGCAGCTTTCCAACGCTTTGGAATCTAACAAATTGTCCAAAAGTGGTGGAGGAATGTGTACTTCCAGCCTGTGGTGGTGTTTTAAGAAGCAGCACCCATTTCCTCACCACAAGAGCATTACCTACCCATGGGCCCATGGAGCTAAGAGCCCATGGAGCCCAGAGCCATGCCCCAGGCAAGAGCATTACCTACCCATGGGCTCTTGCCCATGGAGCCCAGAGCCATGCCCCAGCCTTCCATACAGGCTAAGGGCAACGCATTTTGGAGCAAAGCTAGGGTGGGATTTTAACAGCCAAAAACCCATCCTGCAGAAAGCAACCTCACACCAGCTGTGGTCTGCTTTGCACACTTGCACTCCTGCCATCCCTCCCCTTTCCTCTCCTGTGAAATTGTGCACAACAGAAATGGTTGTGGCAGTAACAAGGACCCCGCTGATCTGATCTGTGTCCTGTGGGGCTGAGGCATTGACCACTGGAACACGGCCTCAAAATAATCAATAGCGCAGGGTGACACGCAAAGCTCGCCTGGCCAACCAGGGATAGTTTGGGGTATTTCCTCATTTGCTAGAGAGAAACAACTGTTTGCTTAATAAAACTCAGCACTCGGGAACATTTTTGCAGCTCTCTCCAACTGGTACATTCGAGGAAAGGAGAAATAAAAAGCTTGAAGACAGTTGAGGGCAACTCTGAAGTCAGGAGGCCATTTTAGCCCTGTAGAGAAGGTAAGAAAAGTTATTTACTGACTTCTCTCAGCATTACAAAACGAAACTTTCTAAAACACGGGTTAAAAATTAGAAGCTTGCTCTAGCTGCCTTGCTTAACGAAGCTGTGTAGAGCACCTCTGTTTGCTGAATTAATGAAGCATTTTGAGTGCTTCTGGCAATCTAGGATGTTTTCCTAAGCTGTAATAACATGGCCAGATCCTCTGATGTAAACAGGTAGCAAAGCAGTGTTGATTTTGGTGGTAGAGGCTCTCATTAGACCTGGTGGTTGATGTTCAGGCAAATTCTCCCTGCAATTTGAAGTGGTATGGAGATAGGTCAGAGAAAGTGGGCCAGATCTTCCCCTGGTGGAAATCAGTCAAATCAGCACCACGTTGCTTCACACGGGGCGAGAAATGAGCCCTCTGGCTATACGGGAACGATGCGGAAGAGGATTTGTAGCTCACCTACAAGATCTAAGTTTTGGAGAAGGAGGTGAGGTTGTGCCTGTGCTTGTTTGCTTCTCTCTATGAGGGAAATAGGTGAGCTGGGTGAATGCATGCAAGGGTTGAAAGCAGGCAGACAAAAGTCAGTATAAAAACACTTTGTTCCTAGGTGTACACAGTGGACATTTGGAAGAAAAAGAAGTAAAATATCCCACGTTCCTTCCATTTCTCTCCACTCCCTCCCTGCTTCATCCCTCACCCACACACTGCCAGGCTACTTAGATTCCTATCTTTTTGAGCCCAGGGTTTTTCTTTAGATTCCTGCAAAATGCCCTGCCCAGCTTGAGCATTATATAAGCAGTAGGTCATGACCATAAAACAAGACTTACCTCTGTTAAATGCACCTTTCTGAAATAGTTTAATCCCAGCTAACTTGTTTCAGAACTGCAGTGCAATATATATGACTGTAAAGTGCTCAGAGGAGAAGGCGTATAAGCACAGTGCTCATTGCATTCACAGTAGCAGAGGACAATGCAAATTTTTCTCTGTAGAAGTGCAAGCTCAGAAGTCCCTGTCAACCCCAGCTACCTCACAGCAACATACGGCATCCCTTAAATCTTTCCGTTTTCTCTCTCAGTTACACATGTCTGAGCACATCAGCCTGTCTTCATGCCTTACCTCACCATTTCGCTGTTCTCCTCCTGTCAGCAAAGCCAGATGCAGCCCCATCTCTGGCTTTCTCAAATATCTTCACACTGTCTTTCGCTTGGGCCTTTACATTCGGAGAACCCAATCTGGATTGATTTTAGGTACTCCTGCTCTGCTTAATACCTTCTCAACACTGACTTCTGTCACAAAACGTTCAGGATTAGCCAAAGCATGTGACTAAATTGAGTGACTTTTCACAGTTTACTGCCTTTGTTGTTACAAAAACTGTTTGTATGTAGCAGGCATAGGTGTGTGTGCATGCACGGAAGTGTGTGCGCAGCTGTAATGCGGGTGTGCAGATGGATCACCTTCCTTCTCTTGCATTTTACGACCTATGCACTGGGGAGCAAAGCCATATTTGCCACAGCTCCTTTTATCAGCCTCTTTGAGGAAAGAAACCTGTAGTTGGTATTTTGTGATTTTATACAGTTACAAGTCCTGAGCTGGAGGGAAGCTATGATAAAATTGGTAATTGATAATGGCAGGGTAAAAGCTCAAGAATCTCAGTACCAGGAGTCTGAATTCAATTTCCAACCTGTCATGGAGAAATATCTGTGGCTTCACTTTAGTATTGGCCAGCCTTTTCTCTTCTAGCTGACTATCCCAGCGTAGGTGCTCTGTGAGCTGGGATCGCTCAGGCTGGTGAAGGGGAACCTCATGGCTGCCCACACCAAACTCACGTGTGGAGTAACAGAGATGGTGGAGCCAAATTCTCCTTTGTGCTGGCAGAGGATATGACAAGGAGCAACAGTCACATTTAGAGCTGTGGAGGTTCAGGTTAGTCACTAGAAAGACATCTCCACCCAGGGGTTAGGGCAGTGCTACATCAGGTGGCCTTGAGAAGTGACAATATCTACACCCGTGGTGGTTTTTAAGGCTCAGCTACACAAAACCATGGCTGATATCATGACCTGGTGTGGATGGTTGTCATGTTTTCAAGAGGAGTTTGTACTGAAGACCTGCAGAGACCCTCCCATGATTACTTGATTTCAAAAGAAAAACCCAACGTTTGGGATAAAAGCTACTGTTTTTCACATTACACTAAATTTCTGAAAATGAGGTGGGATAGCACTGTGACTTGCTGTGTCCCAGCAATGACATATCCTTAATAAATGGCACAAGTTTATCCATGTTTCCACTCTTTTTGATACTTCAGCATGGGTGACAAAACAGTTCTGCAACCCACAACCTTATTTACCCTTATCTGCAGGACAGGCACAGCACAGAAAATAGCAAAGAAAGCTGCTCCAATTCCTGCTGGCAGCATAACCTCAGCTGAAGCTGGTGAGGGACCAGAAGAGGCGCTCCTGTCTGCCTGGATCCCAAAGCTGGATTGGCTCTTTCTAGGGCATTTCCTGCCCTTAAAGACTTCCAGTAGTGGAGATTTCAAATCAGCTTCTCAAGGCAGGCACTCCTGACACCCTGGAGTATCCATTTCCCCATTGACCTAGACCTTTACCCTGCCAAAAAGTCTGCCAGCCTGGATATCAGTTTGTGCAACCACAGTGATGTTCCCAAATAGCTCAGACAACTGTCTGTTAACAATTAAAGCAAAACTATCAACTCACTTCATATCAACATTTTTACTCATGGCAATTTAAAACAAACTTAATTAAATATATTTTTTAATAATTTTATTTTAAATAAAGGCTCTGTAGGGAAGAGGCTCTGTAGAAGAATATTATCTGTGTCTTATCTGGAATATTTCTTGCTTAAAACTAGTTCTTCTCATTAAAGAAGAAAACTACCGAAATCCCATGCCTCATGTGTTGCAGTAACCCAAACTTTCTATGTCTTTCCTCAGCAGTGAGCTACCATGTGCACAGGGAAGTGTTCAAAATGCATTGGGATCACCCTGCTCCCACTGGCTGCATGTGCCATAGTCTCCAATCTTCTCCTGTACTTCCCCAATGGACAAGTTCTGCAGCTAAGTGAGATAACTGACCTGGTCTGGTTTTTCAATGGCATTGTGGGAGCCGGGATACTGGTAAGAGAGAAGCGTTGCTCTTGTCACTTCTGTTTATTAATTAAGAAAACCTCTGTTAATTTAATGAAAAAAAAATCATCATAGCAATGTCTTTTTTTTTTTTTCTGGAAACCTTATCTAGGAAGGTGGTGTTTAGGATAGGAAAAATGCCTTCAAGACCCTTCAAATCCTTAATTAAAGGAATACAATCTATTTCTGAAAATGAATGTTTGCATTGCAAGTCATAGAGAAGCACTCAGGCTGGCTTTTTGCTATGGAGAAGAGTACCGTGAGTGCTCATGTCTTAGTGGGTCAATGCAGAGCTAATGCCACAAGCCCAGGTTGAGTTTTCACTCTAGCCTGAGTGAAAGTAGCCCTTGCTACTCCTCTGGCTGATTTTGTTCTCTCCTGTTTTCCAAGAATGCTAAGGGTAACGCTGTCTGTGTACCTCCACATTCACATCCTTTTGGCTTTGCTTTGGGTTTTATTTTACTGTTCTGTGACCAATTCCCCATTCCACTATTTTTAAGTGAATATCCGTAATCAGCATGGAACATGTTCTGCTATACTGATCTATTCCTGGCTTATTAGAAAGACTGCTGCCTTTGCACTCTTTCAATCGTCCAACCCAAGGACAGCTAAAAAGCTAAGCAAAAGAAATGTGGCCAGCTGTGTATTGGCTATATAATGGCTGTAATACAGTCTAGACAGAGGATAAATTGGCACCAAGCTGGCTACCAGCATGTCAATTAACTGAATGCCTAAGAACAACTAATTTACCATAAAAGCAAATCTCACCTTCAGTCAGACTCCGATGCCGTCACTGCTTAAGTCTATAGAAAAACTAACAATGGACATGGTTCAGACTTGTATTTCCCAAAGCAGAAGTGTTGTATAAGACCATTCAATAAATTGTTCATCACCAGCAGCTTGTCTGCTTCTTCTTTAGCTAGCGCTTGGGCCAGTTATTCATGCTGAGCTTGAACATAAGCATGAGTGTGTGGAGGAAGCCTAAAGGGAGAAGTGGAACTGCGTGAGACACCTGTGGAAAAACCCTGAGCCCAGGAGTCATTGGCTTTCCATGAAAGGAAAGATGGATGTTAAGCATGGTAGCGTCACAGGCTCATCCAGAACGTGCCTTCCTTTGAGGCCTCCACTGAAAGGTTGCCTGTGGCCAGCAGCACTGTGCACATCAAAACTGAGAGAAGCAAGTGAGAGGGGAGGAAAAAAATTGCACTATTCTTCAAAACAAAGACAGCAGCACTAGGAGCAATTATTGATTGTGATAATTGCACAGAAAATGCTGTCGAGAGTACATGTTTTCCAGAAATAAGCATGACAGATGCCCACAGGTGAAGAGCAGGGAAAAGAGAGCAACAGCTCCATTTTCCAGGATGGAGAGAGCTGAAACATGGAGAAATGAGGACAGGCAGAAATAATCCAAGGCAAGGGATGCTTCATGACACACTGCAAAGTCCTGTCCCCATCCTGAGCCCAGGCCATATCCTGACTCCCCAGCAAAGACAGACTGGGCTGCAGCCCATTCCCCCATGCACCTAGGCACCTCCCCAGGGAAACCCAGGGCTGCAGGAAAAAGTCACTGGAGTAGGTCACCTAACTTGGTAGTTTCTCTGCAGACCGGACACCTGGAACCTCCTAGAGCCAGGAAAGTGAGGGACACTTCACATCAAACACCCTTGCTTTGCTCCATCAACCAGAAAATCTTTCCTCCTCCTCTACTGCTTTTCTACTGGAATTTTATATAATATGAGAGCTTCTCAGTTTCCTTTTTTTTTCCAGAAATATAGGATGTAAGGAGAGGAATGTGTCATAGTGATGTCTTTCCTGACAGAAAATCTACATGCAGACCTAGGAAATGCCTGTATGAGCCATGTGGTCCTCATTTTACTGACAAAAAACAAATCTAGCAAATTCGCATTCCAGTGCCAAAAAGCAGGCATTTATAATCAGACAGTGTAGCAAAAGAAAGCTGCCAAACAAACCCTTCATCCCTAGCCAGACTAATAAATAAAAGAAAAACGCTCACAGCTGAGTCAGGAAACCTCCAAAGAAGAAAGATGGCCCTGGAGGAAAGGGAGTGCTGGTTTGATGGGCAGAAGCCTTAGTCTTAATCTGAGGGCTAGGCAGTGACTCTGGGCCTGCACTGCCTGTGGACCACCTATGAATATTCAAGAAATGCCTTCTTTTCATGAAGAAAATGTCTTTTTAACCTCAGTGCTCTGCATCTGCTGTCCTCAAACTGTGGTCAGGGACCACTGAGGATTCTGGAGGCTGTTCCTAAGGGGTGCATAAAAGGTAACTAAGAAGAGGAAAATCCACTGGAAAATGTTCAAGGTTCTGCAAATCCAACCAGGCTTCATAACACTGTCCTTCACAATCTGACATGGACAGGCATCCTGTACACATTTATGCCCCATGCTTCGCTTACTTTGGACATCCTGTTCATCTTGCCCTAAGTGCCCATCACTCCAGTATCTAGTCAGGCGGTTTTAACAAACTGGGTTAACAGTGGTATAGCAGAGCTTTTTGTTGTTGTTGTTGTTGTTTTTCTGTTCTTCTTCTTTCCTTGACTGTAAAAGGACAATTTCCTACTTTGTCAAATACTTCTTCTCTTGTGTTGCACTGTGAGGTGTCTACACAAACAGGGGTTGGCAGAAGCCAAGCAACCGGAATCATAGAATCACAGAATGCTTAAGGTCTAGAGGTCCTCTAGTCCAACCTCTAGAGATCATCTAGTCCAACCTCCCTGCACACACAGGGTCACCTAGAGCACGGGGCACAGGGTGGCATCCAAGCGAGTTTTGAAGATCTCCAGAGAAGGAGACTCCACAACCTCTCTGGGCAGCCTGTTCCAGCTCTGTCACCCTCCTTGTTAGGAAATTTTTCCTTAAGTTCCTGGGGAACTTTTGGTGCTTCAGTTTGTGGCCATTACCTCTAGTGCTGTTGGTGGCCACCAAAGGAAGGTTCTGGCTGCACAGTTAAACCCAGAAAAACCTTTTTTTTCCTGTAGCTACCAAACTAAATGCAGCCTTCCAATTCCAGCATGCCTGCATAGGGTGACATTGTATCTGGAGTCACCGATGACTGCTGATTTCATTGGAGCAGTTCTGCTCCATCTGCTAATTACTATGCTGAAAATTCCTCCCTTAGAGCCCTTTCAGTGAAGTCCGTTTTGGAATGTTTCCAGAAGTCTATCACAAAATCATGCTTCAGGAAGTTTAATTTCTGAATTCTAATCTGGATTAGGATGCTTATAAGCAATTCTTACCCCAGTAATTCATTAAAATTCTTTAGAGTCTGCTGAAGAGAGAGCTGACTGGGAAAGGTTTTCTTTGCCTCATGGAAATTTACAGTATTTAAAATATATATATCTGTATGATGATAAACTAACTTTTTTTTTCATAGATATACAAAAATCCCATTCTGATGGGATCCTAATGATTAAAACACTCATTTGAGACAGAGGAGCACGGATAAGTCTTAAGCCATCGCTGGGCCTTACCCAAATGAGACATTTGAATGGTGATCTCCAAGGCCCAGCGTCCTGACCACTTCCTACAGAGAGGATATTTCGAGCTTTCCTGTCAGAGCTGTCCTGGTATGGCCTGGGAGAGAGACTGACTTTACTCTGCAGTGCTCATGGCACTCATGTGCAGGGTGGAAGACTAAGACTCATGTTCTAGACCTGAGAAAAGATATGAAAGTTGGCCTCCTACTTCCATAGCTCCATCAGCAAATCTATTGGCTACATCCGAGTAGGAGGAAATCCTGTCCAAGCAGAAATTCCATTTTATCAGAATTGATATATGTCTCTTGGAACAAAAATGACAGCACCTCATATGAAAGAAATTATTGTATGTATTAGAAATTTGCCAGTGAGCTCCAGCTGTCATCCCACACTCCCTCCTGATCTTGCTTCCTACTGCAAGCACCAATGTCTAAGCAGGTGTAACTCACAATGGGGCAGGAGATGGTTTAGATTTGAGTCACGTCTCAGCTCTTAGACTTTAACAAAAGTCCCAAAACACTGCATACCAAACCAGCTTGTGCTTTTCTTGCAGGTTATATTGCCGGCATTTATGATGCTGGGAGCAGGCGGAGCAGGATGTTGCGCTAACAGGTGTGGGGTAAGTGGATATTTATGTGTTGAAACGTCACTATGTGGTTTGCACAATAGCTCTTAAATGGCTGCTTAGCAGGTGGAAATGTACAATGACAAACCATCACACCACCATCAGCAGCCAAGTCAGGAAAACGTAGAAGCAGAGCTTGATCTACAGCGTCCCTGGGCTGGGGCTAAGAAATCAGTTAGCAAGCAAGAATCTTATGATATTGCAGCCACTGATATAAGTCACTGAAATTATACATAGCCAGGACAGGTACCAGAACCTCTAGCCACAATGCTGAGAGTCAAGGGAGGAAATGCTGCTTTATTATTTTTGCTTTATCCTCCATAAAGCAAAACACTGCTCCAGCTTCTTCCTCCCCAAATTGATCCTAAAAGCCAAGGCAGCTGCCCATTTCTTCTACTTTCATCTGGTCCTTTCCTTTTCTGTTTTGGGGAGATTTCCTTTTCCACAGATTCATTCTTCCTTACCCCTGAATGGGCAGATAGATTGGCTGCCTTGTTGGCCACCACTACAGGAGCAAAATGTAGTTCCCTGAGTGCCAGAACCCTGAGTTGCTCTGGTGGGTGCAGAGGAGTGAGTGCTGTTGCACTGAGGATGGTCCCAGACACGGGTGCTCTGTGGACTGATCTTGCAGAAGCTTTGACCTGTAGCACACATTTGCCCCAAAGGTTATGCACACAGGAAGTGCAAATGCAATTTGGGCTTTTTGTCACACAAACAAAGGACAGAGATTTTTTTTTTCCCTTGATAATTAAGAATATTATAAAGCAACAGGCTTTATACAGGCATCTCAATTATTTTCAAGCCTTGGGCACAGACTGGTATGTGGCTATCCTCATGAACAAGAATAAACTGAATTAGAAAGGCTTGCCTAATCTGCAACCTTCCCAAAAGCAGCCTGTACCTGGATTCCATACAATAAAGAGTTTCTTTCCTGTACTTTTCAATTAATATTAGGTTTGATCCATGGCATCTTTGACTCTTCAAATTGTTTTACTTTAGTTAATTCATTATTAAAAATACCAAATTGCATTCTTGGTTAAGACGCCAACAGGTACCTCACAAGGGACATGCTCTGACACTGATTTTACCAAGTATGATGTGCATGGTGGGGAGGATTTGCTAAAGATGGCCAAGTAGGCCAGCTACAGGGCTGTGAGGTCAGCCTCAACCCCCAGAATCCAAATCCTTAGCCAGCTGCTTTTCCTAATTTTGAGTAATATAGAAAACTGTGGTCAAAAATGACAGTGCTGAGTAGTACTATGAGTGCCCACATGCTCTGCAGAACAGGTTACACAGAAATTCAGCTGAACAGGGCTCAGTTGTAACATGAGGTGTAGAGTCTCCCCCCTCAATCTTCCATCTCAATGATAAATATTCCACTGGGCCTCCCAGATTAAATCTGGGCAAAGAGTCAAACTACTGCAGACAGGTTGGGTTGGTTGCCTTATCTGACTCCCTCCATCTGCTGACTTGGCCAGTAGCACGCTCTGCTTGGCAGCCCACATTTGTAGACTACTTGTCCTCTGCTACTCTGCTTCGCATCCTCTGTCCTGTAGCTGTTCGAAGCTTCTGACAGCACCTTCTCTGTACTGACAAGTTAAATATGAACTGCTCCTCCTCTTTGTTATGGTACAAGAAGAGTATTTGTTATGGTACAAGACTATAACAACCACTTCTGAGAAAACTGTTAGATTATGTGCTACAATATCTGTATAAAGGACAGTGCTAAGTGGTGAGGCTGCTCAAACCAAACTAGAGAAAACAATAGCGACAACAATTAATCTCTCTAGGATGGAAGGGGGTGCAGTACTCCAATTCAGCCTATGGATTAAACAGAATGTAGTTCAATGTAGAGGTGGGATGGACACATGAATAAAGGGTAAGCAACTATGAAGAGTGTTACAAACAACAATTTCACATGCACACACAGTGCTTGGGAAAAAGTGACTTCCACACATAGAAAAAGAGCTGAGATTTGCCCGGACATCTGAGGGCTGATGTGCTTCCTCAGAGGAAGAAACTCTGGGAAATTCACTTGAGGATAGTGGGAGGAATGGTGCAAAGACCCACATCAGGGTTGCTCAGCCTTCTTGACTGTATGAGCTGTAAACTCAAGCCTGAGGATGATGTGAGCCACCAGCCTCTGGAGAGCAGGAGCTCTGGGACTGGTTCAAACATGCACAACGACAAGTTTCCCCATGGTGTCAGCTCTCCTTGCAAGATGGGTTCGGGGTGGACCTGAAGCTAGGCCCAGGCTCTTGGTGGCTTATCTGTCAACTCCTCCCCTGCACAACCCTTCTGGCAGGGAAATAGTCCACACTAAAACTACTCAGGAGCTTGAATGGTACAAAAACTAATCTCACCACCTTTCTGCTTTGGGGACCTTGGATGTAAAAGATGAGGTTTCCAGAGAACACCCAGCATTGGTTTTCATGGCTGGTTTGGAAACAAGACTAAGGAGACAATGTTATTTAGAATTATTGTTAAATGAGAACACAGTCATGTTCCTCAGGGTAGAGACTGTCCTGCTGTATTTTGTGCAATTCCAGTTTTAATAGATCCAGACTTCACAGCCTTTGCATGCTGCCAGTGTATCAACAAAGAAAGTAATAGCAATTACTGTATTTCTCATCCCTTTGCTCATCTTATTGAGTTCTCCAATTCAATTATTATTTTTTAAACATTCTAATTATGTGTTGCATTGAGTAACTTTTTTCCATTAATCCATTTTAAATTATTGTCTGTAAGTATCCCTAGATGCCTTCCTATTCTTGCATTGTAAAATAGTGATTTTGGAAGGTAACAGATTTAGAAATCCTCAATGTATATTAGCATGTATATAACTAAGAACATCCACTCCAAAGGCACAATGAGGAAATAAAAAACCCTACTACATATAGTTTATGCCATTACACCAGCACACATATTCTAATACATCCCTCTAAGCTTTTTTTAAGAGTTGCTAGTAGAACGAGAATAGCATTAGCAGCTTTCCAGACAAACAAACCTAGGCAAGCAAAGATATCTAGATAACCATAGAGGATATTAATTCATAAAAAAAAAAAAAACATCTTCAGAGAAAGAAGAAAAAAAGTCTTGATGAAACAAGGACCAGGGCATCAAAGACTAGTACGGAGTGGTACAAGCTGGGACAAGAGGAACGTGGTAACATCATCAAATCAGCCAATTCAAATGTGCCAACAATGAGGACTGCAAGTCCTCATGAGCCCAACAAAGACAAGCCAATTGTGTAAGGGATAAATCAAGGAAGACTTTACAAGCAAATCACCAAAAAGAACAACCAGCAAAAGCTTTGCAAGCAGCACAGAACAAGTCATCATCATGGGAAACTGGTGATGACAACAAACTCAAGCATCTCAGCTTAAATTTCATTTGCAAAGAAACAAGTGAAGTAATACAAATAAATAACAACAACAACAACAAAGTACAAATGAAGGTGATGTGACAGTGGGAAATGCTGAAACACTGAGGTCATGAGATAATAAAATTGTTAGGTTTCCATAAAATACAAGACAAGCCCCAGAAAAGTTTGCATAAAGTAGAAATAATGGGGAAATGCCGTTATGTCCATAGATAATGCCTAGGATAGGCAATCTAACAGTTACAACCCGAGACATTTGAGTGAGAAATTTGACATGGTAATTGAATTTGGAATTGGAATTAATTTTCAAGGTAATTTGAAATTATTAAGCAGATACTTAAGATGATGATGACATGAAGCTAAATGTACAGCCAGCACATTTCAAATCAGAAAAAAAAAATAGTTAAAGAATAATTATCAAAGATAGCACTGATGAGTATAACCACTATAACTATACTTAGGAATAGCAGGAAGCCATTTGACACTTTCTATTATAATTAAATTTGTACTGCTACGCTGTGCTAAAATAAATTGTCAGCACAATCAAGATCCTTATATCAAGCTGCAGAATGCACCATTGAGGTAAATGAGAAAATAGATGGGGAGAAATGGCTCGGCACAGACAGGAGTTTCAGGGTATCAGTCCCTCACTCCTACTGCAAGGCATCAATAGTGATCTTATTTTTAAGAGACACAGTGCATCAGTTACAAGCCAAGCACCATGGACTATGACGATATATTATCTTCATTTTGTTGACAATGAAGCTCTGTTAAGAGGCAACCCAGCCAATATGCAAATAAATACTGAAAGGGCATCTAGCTTTTCAAAAAAAAGACAGAACTGTTAATCATTTATGATGAAATAAATCCCATGAGAAATTCCAGCAGCTTCTAACTCAAGTGTTGCTTTGAAGGTGAAAGAGTGCACAGAATGAGCCAATTCTCACTCCTACAAAAGGCAATAATGTCATCAACTGGCAAGCTGGAAGCCGCTTTCAGCAGCTTAGACAAGTCTGGGTATTGAACAGCTTTCAAGACTAGGACCCATGGATACCGGATATCTGCATTTGTCACTGCAACACAGAACTCTGTGGAGCTGCTGATGGTAGTGCAGAACTGCTACCTTCTTTCTTGGTATTTCACTGGTATTTGCTGTCAATGGAAAAATGTGAGGCCTGAGATATTTGGTTTCAAACTCAAGTCCTGGATGGGAACGTTTCTCATGTAATTCCTCAAAAGTGTCTGTGCCCCAGCTCAGAGTGCCCTAACTCCTAGGCGGGCTCGCTCCTCTCCTCGAGCTCGGATCTTCCACCAGCTCTGCCTGTCTCCTCCACAAACTACTTCTGTCTTCTGCTTCTTGGCAGAGTTGTGCATGACCCCAAGGAGGGACAAGACGAGTGGGCACCTTTCCCAGGTGTAACACTGGTAGCACCAGGTGGAAGAGCTTGTTTCTAAATGTAAACGGCAATGAAATACATCCCATCCATTAAAATAAAACAATGCCAAAAGAGAGCAGAACTAAAGCTTCTGTGGGAGTGACCAATGTGAGACATGTGGGCACCTTACATGTCATTCGAAGGCACTATTTGTTGTCACATTCAGCACAATTAGATTTCTTATCATGAGTAGTGGTAGTATCATTTCATGCTGTTGAAAAGTAAAGGGAAGCCACAATTGCAGGTCTCTTTTGCATTCTTCATCAGTTGTCAAAAACAGCTGAAGTGTTTGCTATTGCTTTCACACCTGGTTCAATAATGGATTGCCTCTTGGTTTCTGCTTGTAGAAAAGGGCCATTGGCTGAAGAGCTGGAAATGTCAAAGCACCCAAGATACAGACCACATCAAGCCAAGGTGTGGTGGCTTTGTAATGGCTTTTTGAAAGAAGACCCATGAGATTTTCTATTATTTTTTTAATTGACAAGTTAAATATGAAACGCAGTAAGTTTGTACACTTTTAACAGAAGAACAAATACAGGTTGAAATCTTTCAACTCCCAGGATAGCTGCACTAGTCAAAATTCAACTACTTATTATTCTCAAAAATATCATGCTGCTGTAATTTGTTTCTGCATGTTGTAGGAATCAGATAAAGTTGATTCCCTTCCCATTCAGCATAAGCTTTCCATCCTACTCTGTGCACCTGTGAATATGATGTTGAAGGTTTTCCACCCTTTCAGATGCTGCTGTCAGTGATTCTGGCTGTGCTGGGTTTCGCGGGAGGTGTGTACTGTGTGGTCATCTCGTCGCTGGGGCTGATTGGTGGACCTCTGTGCGACACGGGTGATGGAGAGTACGTTTACCCCTTCAGGAATGACACTCTGCAGTGAGTATGATTTACAGACTCTTCTAACTTCACATTGCCAAACCTCCCTACACACATTATTCATATCAAATTTAGCTTTGTCCATAGTGAATGAATGCTCCACCCTGGTTAAGCTTGAATTCACGTTTCTCTGAGCCAGCATGTTTGGGTTGGTCATCACCTTGACCAAGGGCTCATCTTCAGGCAAACTGTTTGCTGCGTTGTGCTTGTCAACACCCTTTCTGGAAGTTGCACCAGGCTTTCAAAAGACTGCTGAGTTGTGAGCTGTGACTCTCATCAAAGTCAAAGGAATTATTTGATAGGTATGTCACATTAGTCTGCAAAACCACACTGGGCAGAATCTACATACTTCTGGAGAGCAAAGTGTCTGACTTTAAATAAAATTAGCCTTGGGAACCACTCTTTTCATGGCAGAGCTGTGGATGGGCTGAGTTGAGACACCATGGCAGAAATGTAGGATATGGAGATGCATTTTAAAGCCATTAGAGACCTTTCCCTTTAGTAACTAACTTTGTCATAAAACATAAGGGAGATTCATGTTTATGCAGCAAAGTACAGGTCTAGCTCTCTGCCCCAGTCATCAACTGGACTGCTTACTAAGTCTGGTTCTCAAAGAAAAACATCAGTAGAATCTGAGACTCACTTTACATTGAGCAAATGAGCCCAGAAAATGTCATGCCAGAAGATGCAAAGTCTCTTTTTATTGTTATGCAAGTCAAGCTTTTTCATATTTTTGTTTTCTAATGTATTGCCAACTACTTTTCTCTATCACAGAGACAATTATTTGTTCAATCAGACAACATGGAGCATTTGCAAAGAACCTGAAAACATCATCCTTTGGAATGTTGTCCTTTTCTCAATTCTCCTGGTGATTGGTGTGATTGAAGCTGTCCTTTGTTTTATTCAAGTCATCAATGGACTTACTGGCTTCATATGCGGCACATGTATGAGAAGACGAAAGGTTGGTATGCAGCGAAAAGTAGGTAAAATGTAGGCACTTGTATTCCGACTACTTTTCTTTCCAATACTCTTTGGGAATGGTATATGGTTGGACATATCTACCCAACCTTTGAACCCCAATGGTTTCTTCTCACTGTTTATTTTCATTGAACAAGGTGCCTGCAGTGGGTCTGATATCCATCTGGAGTGTTAATTAATCATCTTTCATTCATTGCCTTTCAGACAAATATTTCCGGAATGTGACTGACTGAGAAGACAAGCCCCAAACTGCAGATTCACATCCAATAAGGATCATACACTGTGCTGTATTTCTGGTGGGGAGGACAAAGAAATCCCAAAATGTTCAGGATTCTCAGGGGAGCGACCTAGATTTTTTAAAGCCTTTTATAAAGGTGGAAAAGAGTTAGATTATTTAGGATCTGAGATTCCAATTTTTCTTCTAAACAGTCTTGCTAAACTCCTTGTCCAGAAAAAAAAAAAAAAAAAACTGTTCAGCTCCAAGCACCCTGCGTGGCCATAAAACACAACGATTCTCAGGTAGAAGTTCACTACTTACCCTGTGGTTCACATGGGAAACGGAATCTTTATTAATATACGCATTTATCAGCTGCACTAAACTGGTGCTTTCTGGCTGAATGTAAATACAGAATCACAGAATCCCAGAATGGTTGAGGTTGGAAGGGAACTCTAGAAATCATCTAGTCCAACCCTCCAGCAGGGACACCCAGAGCACGTGGCACAGGACTGCGTCCAAGCGGGTTTGGAAGATCTCCAGAGAAGGAGACTCCACAACCTCTCTGGGCAGCCTGTTCCAGGGCTCTGTCACCCTCACAGCAAAGAAGTTCTTCCTCACATGGAGATGGAACTTCCTGTGCTTCAACTTGTACCTATGTACATAAATACCTTCCGGTCCCCTCAAAATCTAGACTTGATCTCACCTGCCTGTTCTCATTAACTTGCTGGCTGGGCACTCCTAAACAGACCTAAATTAGGATCTTCAAATAATATATTGAGCAGCATTTGTGACACTGTAGGATTAACTGAAGGAGTGAGTTTCCCACCTTCCTGAGTCACTCTGAAGTCAAATCCCCGCATGTTTATTCCGTAGCTTGCTGTCATATTTGACAGGGTCCGATGCACATCAAGATTGTCTTCCCAGGAGCATCTGATAGACTTGGTAGCTGTGAAGGTGCATTTGCATCAACAAGGAGCATAGGCTCTTGAGCAAGAGTTCAACAGTGCCACATTTAACAAAAAGGAGGAAAACCTCACCACATTTTTGCCCTCGTGAGGCTGCATAGGAGACTCACTACTTTCTGTGAAGATCTATATGATGGCGCTAGAATAGATCTCATGGTTGAGTAGTTAACCAGTAAAGATAAACATTCAAGCAGTAAAGGTTATAATTATGTGCAGCTTAGTAATAATAGAGATGTAAGAGATATAACCTGAAAGGAAACAAATTGCATCAATCTTAATGTTACAGCAAGCAGTAATCCCACAAGGAACTGCGTAATTTGCCATCATCGCTCAAGATCAAGCCCTGGATGCTAAAAACCGTGACTGGCAAATTTCAGAAATTCCATCTTTTCTGTGGCTTCTTCAAAGACTAATTCTTAGACATCCCAGGCTTCTCTGAGACAGCCAAATTGTGAGATAACTGTTGTCCATCCTAAATGCAGGTGTGCAGTTACAGAAACCTGAATTTATATGAAGTACTTGAAGTCTGTGTCTCAAAAAGAGGCACTTATATTTTCTCAGTCAGAAGTTGCTCATATTACTAGATTGTAGCATAGCTGCATGTTGTTTGAACACATTTAGATTTTACAAACAGGCTGTTTGTGCTACTGTGTCCTGCAGCATACAGAGTCCTTTATACAAACTGCTGCTGGAAATGTCAGAGCAGTACAAAGATGAGCTGTGCATGTATAACTCCCTGGTGCAATGTTTTACCACTAGACACAGGAAATTTGTTGCATAAAACTGAAAAGTACATTTTGGAAAGAAAGCATAAAAGAACAGACAACTTAGCTGAAGTTTAGAAGCATAAGTCAGTGCATCCAAACCCAAAAACTAACGCTCATTTTAATCTGTGAAGTCTGAACAAAGAGGACATCAAAAGAAAGCCAACTAATTCAACCAGGAAAAGAGGTGGGGAGGTAGCTGCAAGTAATGATACTCAGCATGTAGTCAGTGCACCGTCAGAAGAGGAGCTCTACAAGCTCTTCCCTCAATATCAGCCCTGGCATCTCCTTGACGAAGCCGGTTTGCAGCGTCAGCGCTGGGAGAGAGGGAGATACCCCCTGGCACGTCTCACTTCAAGCGAGGAAGTCCAAACACTGCTGCCATCTGCATGCTCCAAGCTGTCCTGCCCTGGGGACTCTTAATGTCATGTCTGTGCACTGTCTATCCTGACCCTATGCAATTGCTGGTTTTACTGATATATGTAAATATTAAATATTGCTATTCTGAAGTTATTTGCTGGTTTGATTTGTGTGGGCTACCTTTGATCTAGCTTCATTAAGAACCAGTAACATGGAATAACATAGAAAGTAGAGTGAAATTCGTCTTATCTAACTTGAGTGGTCAAAAAGGGACTTCTTTGGGCATAGGCATCAAGTCCGATAGGCTGTGAAGAAAGAGAGGTTTCTCTTAGTCTGTTCAGAAAGCAGTGCTTAAGGCAAATGGGAAGAATTGTATCTCCAGGCGTTCTCCATATTATACAAGAATATGTAGCGCCAGAAATGCACTGAAGAATCCTGCCTGGCATCCTCTTTGTCCTGGTGCTTCGTCTACCTTGGCACGTGGAGCAAAAGCAGTGGATAGGCTGGTCCCTGCAGACCCCTCCATGCCATGACCCTCCAGGCTCTGGTTTACTGCCCCTTCCCCATGTTTCCTTCATTCCTCCCAGGGAGGTTCCTCACAGGCAACACTTTTTTTTTTTTTTGGCAAACAAAATCTTTTAAAAATCTCAAAGGAAATTTAAAGCACAAGATCTTTCCAGCTCCTCTAGAGAGTTTGTTTCTTTTCCTGTAGAGCATCCCTGGGCTCTCCACTACCTGGGGGAGTCTCCGGGCAGCCTCCCACCAGAAATGCTGCTGTTGTCCCTTCCAAATCTCATTTGCTCCCACGGGCTGCTGAGAGCTGTCTGAAAGCGGAGCATCGACCACACCGTCGCGTGCTGAACACAGCACAGGGGAAGAGCTCTTTCAAAGGCAGAGAAGCCACCACATCCTGTTCACCTCTCTTCCTTCCAGCTGATTAGCTTCAAACTCAACCCTCAGATGAATATCCCACATGTGGATTACTAAACCCAGGAATAGCCCAGTTCCTCGTCCAGCAGCATGTGTCTCCCATAGGTGCTCTGTAATATCTGCCTGCCTGCCCGGACATCTCAGATGTTTTAGGGCATCTCAGATGGCACAGACACCTCTATGTGAGCATCTAAATCAAACCCTGTGGTATTTTCTGGCTACATTGGCACTGCTTTTAAAAGACCTGTCCTCTCCCTGTCTTATCTCCCAGGATGACCTAAGATAGATGAGTGAATCTCATCCTAAAATTGTGTATTTGTTCCATCAGCTATGCAGGGAGCTTGCAGCAATGGTCCATAAGCTGTGAGATGTCACTCTTAAGCTGCAGACCTCTGCGTGAACTGGGAGATGAAACCTCTCTGACATCTTCTTATTGATGAGATTTTCTTTTCCCCGTAAAATAGCTACATTGGCCGAGAGTCACCTAGTGGCAAGAGAGCATCATAACAGATTTAGTGAGGAAATCATTCTTTATAATATAAACTCGTGCTTGTAAGATCCTTCTTTCAAGCACTATATCTCAGCCAAGAAAAAAAAAAAAAGGTTCATGAGAATTACCATATCCATACTTTTTCTCTGAGTCTCCTACATCCCACTGTGTAAAGTTTTCACTTATAGTTCGTTCTCTCAGAGATCTGCCCTATAGCCTGATCTTTAAAGAAAGTCTCCCTGGAGATTTTTAACCCTGCCACTCCTTTCCTTTTTTCTTCAAGAGATGATAGAAAGTAGAGTTGATGCAGACTTTCACTGTTGGAAAAACAAACTCAAATTTTGCTTTGAATGTGTTTGAGTCAATATTGGTTGAGTCCTGCAGGACTCTGCCTGCAGACACTGGCCGGACCAGGTGGACGTAGCACTGAGTGTCTCCTCGTGTACCTGGCTGCTGAACAGCGTGGGACCCATCTTCAACGGGCTGGGCCTTCATCCGTTTATTTCCTGTCTGAAAACTGTTGTGCCCAGAAAAACACTTAGCCAATCCTTATGTGCATAAATGGTGCTTTAAGGTTTTGAGATATCCTGTTTTGAGAAGAGGAGACACTCTAGAGAAATCAGAGCCTTCATTGCCGCTCCAGGTCCAGCTTTTATGACTGTTGTAGCTGAAGTCAAAGTGGAAGCGTCTATTTCTAAGTGCCACCCAGAAAATGTGCCTTTAAAATGCACTGTGTCTCTTTCCCGCATTTGTACATGAATAATTAAGTGAAAGCTAAAAACTCTTATTAGTCAAAACAATATTTGTTTCTAAATACAAAGTAGGATTTTTTCCTAAAGGAGGGAATATCCTGGGTGTCAGGATTTTTCATATATTTTCTTTTCATCTTTCTTAAACACTCTTGATACAGCAGTAGTGCCACATCACCACAGAACTTACCAAAACCTCATTTTCCCTTCGAATTCTTTATGCACTTTGTTCTGAACGTAGGATTTAAAGTCAGATCTGCTCTGGCAGGTTTGAGGAAACCCCTTCCATCTGTTTACCTGCACTTTGGGCTGGTCTCCCTCCCGAAGCAGCGAGTGCTGCTGGAGCTGGAGCTCTGGTCCCTGGTGCTGCCGCTGCTCCCGGCTCTGTCCTGCTGCTCTCGGCCCTGGCTCTTTGCAGGATGCAGTGCAGGGAGGCGACCAGCTGGTTCCCATAGTGAAAGGCTCTATCTGCTCCACTGATAAATACAGGGACCTAGGAAAGCCAGGCCAGCTTTCTTAGAGGGTTTGTTTTGTTTTAACATAGAATCAGTTATTTAGAATCACACCAAACCAGATTCAAAAGATTCACAGGACAACTAAGCAGAGAGCTGTATGGCAACTCTATAATAAATGCCTACAACTTATTCCCTAATGCATATGTGGGTTTTTCCTCAGAGTTTTGTCCCTTTAAAGGGAGCTTCTGAAAGTAGTAAAGTCTGTATTCCGTTTTTATATATTCTAAATATATTTTATGTATTATATA